GTAAACTGGCTGCCAATTAGCTTCCGAGCACAATTCAAAGTGCTGGTTTTAGCCTACAAACCCTTTACAGTTCCGGCCGAGTTTACCTTTCCGAATGTATTCTCCCAATGAACCATCAAGGGTGTTAAGATCTTCCGGAGAGGCCCTGCTCTCGGTCCTGCCACTTTCACAGTCATGTCTGGTGGGGACGAGAGACAGGGCCTTTTCTGTGGTGGCTATGGAACTCTCTCCCGAATGAAATTAGATCTGCCCCTCCCTCCTGTCCTTTAGGAAGCATGTGTTTTAATTAATGCTTTATGTATTTTAATTGTTGTATTATTATAATTGTTTATATGTAGCGGCATCGAATCATTGCCAAAAGTAAGCCATCCTGAGTCCCCCTTCGGGGGTAGAGAAGAGAAGGGGTAAAAATACTGGAAATAAATAAATAAATCCTGGCTGTGGAATGAGAAATTTCCAGAGTGATGGCTGAGACCAGAAACTGACTAAAGTTATTGACCACAATGTGCGGACTGAGTTGGACTTTGTTTTGATTTTGGCGAATTGGTTTATATGTACTTTATCTTATATGTATTTTAACTTATTGTTTATGTATGATGTTTCAAAAGGTCTTATTATTAGTATTGAATTCTTGCTATTAGCCGGTCAGAGTCCCTCCACGGAGGTAGAGAAGATTGGGATACAAAAGTTTTAAATAATAATAATAATAATAATAATAATAATAATAATAATAAGCACTAGTTTCCAGAGGGCTTTGAACATTTTGGAGGTACCAGATGTACCTGAACTCAGAAATCTGCCTAGTGTAGGTGAAATCCAACTTGTGAATACCAGGGTGAATAATTTCCATTATTGTTTATAACTCATGGAAGAGCATTCCTGAACATACTGCCATTGTGATCACATGGCATTCACTTGTGGAGTATTAAAATAATCTCAAGTGAGACATGTGGTTTGTCTTGAAATTCACTAGATGTGGTTCTCCTTACATCATGTTTTATTCTTATGATATGCTGGGCCCAGCCAGAGGGCTGTTACATGCTGGTGGTGAAAAGGCTGCGAAATTTCATTCTGGATGATAAAGAAACAGAAGTGCTTACTATCTGGTAACTGAGCTGCATCTGCTGTTTCCTGCTGCTTCATTATTGCTGGAGGCAGCTTTGTTTTACCCCAGGGGACGGCTCAACTGTTGCTGAACCTTCCCAATGATGTCATCACATGTACTTTTGCAAGAGAATTACTGGTTAACTGAAAAGCAAGCAGTTTAATTGGAATTGCTAGCAAGCTGTGATTCCTTTCCTAGTTATTGCAAAAGCTGCATGCAGGAGACTTCCTGTGTGGATGGTGTCTCTTGCAATACCCTGTAGGCACAACATTGAAACAAAACTGATCATCACGACTATAACCACACTGTGAAAAGAGTCCCCAACTACACACAACTATATTGATGTGTAACAGCAAATGAGATCTAGCAACATTTAGCTTTGCTCAAAGCAGGTCTTTTGCAAACCTAATAGGTCTTAATTGCCCACTGGACATCATGACTTGCAGATTATTTTGCTAATGATAGAGCTACCACACAAAAAATTCATTGTGGCAAAAAGTAGCCCAAAGGGGCCATCAACATCAAGGTCCTCCACCATGTGATAGATTATTGCTTTCCAAATGTCACCTTCCACTTCAGCATCTATGAATGGAAATTAATGGTTGCCTATTTTTGTTCGGCACCAGTACTTGCTTTAACAAGAACTTAGATTTGTCTGTATTGGAAGTCAGGGTGTCAACTTTACCTAATAATAATTATTGCAATTAGAAATCCATGGTTTGAAGTGATGGAGACTTTACCATTACAGTTTTTGTTAAAGAGCATTTGTATTACTGGCATTTGATTATAGGAATTGCAAGTAAAATTGCTTTGTGGAGCCTCTCCCAAGGCAAGTGATGCAATGAGTTACATGTGCCTGAAAAGGAATACTCTGTGGTTTTAATTAGACATTCACCCTGAGGTGTGGATAGCAGAACTTTATTAATCATGCCAAATAAGCAGACAGACTAAAGAGTAAACAATTGCAAGCAGTTTGCGTAAGTGTAGAAGCCTGTTGAACAGGAATTGCTTTAGAATAATTTTTGACTTTTTTTCTTACTCAAATGGCAATTGAGCTTGGTTAGCTAAATATGAGGAGAGAAAAATACAACATTTGGTCTTCCAAAGCGTCCTTTTATATATCCTTTAATTGAGCCTTAGAGGAAAATATGACTAATCCCAAGAGTTCTAAGTGAATGGCTAATGCTCTGTAGGAGTTATTATCCTAATATTTTCTTAAGAGAAGAAAGAAAAGTAACCCAGTGAAATATCTGGGTAGGAGACAGATACCGATAAAGGTAAAAATAAATAAATTAAAAACCCAAATATTATGTATTACTCAAATATGGATACTCATGGCAAATTTTCTTTTGGCAAAATGTGAAAGATATATATAATCTGAAAAAAATCTCAGAATATGTACTAATACATTTCCCAACTAAATTTTACTTTCATCCTTTGGTTTATTGAATGTAGCAAAAAAGAAAAAAAAAGGAAAATAAAAGAAAGAAGAAAGAAAGAAAAGCTATATGTAGTGCTACGTAAAAAAAAAACCCCTCCCTTGTTTACTATCGAGAATAAAAAGAATAGAATAGATCCTGAGGATGATGTGAAACACAGATATAAGGCACCCATAGCATGAGTAGAAAATATGCAAGCATTAGTATCATCAATGGGTAAGCATGATGGGAATTCAAGTACAACATTACCTGAAAAACCCCTAAAACCACCCCCTCGCTACAGGCCTGATTGAGAGATACTTTGTATACTTGAAGCTTCATGTTCAACTGAACCACATGTTCAACTGAATCTGTCAGAATATTTACAGTATATAAGATCAGAACATACACACACACACACACACACACACACATGGAAGTGGTATACTCTCTCTCACACACAGCTGGAGTTACACTTTAAAATGTACCTGTTCTGGGTTACATACAAATCAGCTTAAGGACAAATCTATAGAACCTATCTTGTTTGTAACATGGGGACTGCCTGCACAAACCAGAGCATTGCAGCCCCAATCCGTTATATAGTACGGAACAATCCTATACATGTCTATTTGCAAATAAGTCCCTCTGAGTTGGCCATCTTAATGACAATCACTTTTTCCTAATAATAATTCCTGTAATAATTCTCTTCCTGTAATAATTCTCTTTCAGAAATTATTACATTTTCTTTGAAATACGTACAAAGTGATTATGAGATAAAGGATAGAGTAAGTGGACTGTGACATTTCTATGTGCCTCAATTGTCTGTCAAAACTTTATGCTTGAAGGTCACTTTCCCTTTGCGTATTTATTTATTTGTGTTTCATGCTGTTGTTTAGGTAATCACCCTTGAAGAATGGTACATATTTTGTTATAGGTAAAAAATTTAAATTTGCAATGGGCCATGTGCAACTGAACAGTAGTAGCTAAGTCAGAGGTGGGTAACTCTGGAAGGTTAGCTAGGGGGCTCCTAGGAGATCCTGAAGCTCTGTGCCCCATCTGCTCCTGCAAAACTGGAGAGAGACAGAGATGTTCACCATGTTTTTGGGTCTTCCTGGACCTAGAGGCCATTTTGAGTCAATTTGAGTGGGGAAAGGGGGGCGTTAATCCAGAAGATCTCCAAACATGGTGGACATGTCTTCTGTAACTCCTAGAGATAATTCCAGAACAATTTTTGTTGGCCCTTAGAGGGATGTGAGGGCCATCAGAATGACCTGGGGGGCTGCATGTCTGGTTCCTTCTGGTTTCCCTTCACAGTTTCAATACAGTATTCGGGGAGTGAAAAGAAGTTTAGATTCAGTTTGTCTTTTGACATTTTTTGTCTTGAAAGAGGTTTTAACCCCCCCCCCCCCCCCCGGATATTATTTTCTTGTGACTCTCTCAGCTGTGGCTTGGGTCACTGTTTGAAATGCACTGTGCTCCTTTTTCTTTCAGTCTCTTGATGTGGGAAAGTTTTAAGCACTGTGTGTTCATTCAGCCTGAAAGTTTTGTGTTGTAATTATTAGGTTTACAACATTCACACGATCAGGTCATAGATTTAAACCTATGGATTCATGTTAAAAAAATAAAACATGGGCCGGTAAACCTTTATGGAAATGAACTTGTTTATAAGCATGTCTCTCTGCCTCTTTTACTTGAAAGTCCAAATAACATTCATTCATATGGTGGGGCAGTAATATTTATCAAGGCTGATGCGATGTTTTTTGAAGAATCCTATTTTGGATCGTGCATTAGTCCCAGAACTGAATTTGATCCAATGGTTTTCATACTTTGTTGTTTGGGTTGTTTGATTGCTTTTTAGAATCACTGATTGCATCATTTTTCATACATACAAACAGTGAATCTCTAGGGTGGGCTGAATCGTTTTTCTCCACCGACAGAGGTATAATCATGATATTTTTAAAAGAGGTTGCCATAGAGTGACAGATTCCAAAAAGAATGATACATCTTTTAGAAAGTTTTGTTTCAGATGCTACTGATATTTGAAATTCAGCAGAAGAGAGAGAGGAGGGGGAATGGGGGGGGGCATTTGAGTAAGAGTTAATGTCAGTGATCACCTCTCCATGGTTTGATTTTAATCCACATTTCTAGTCTCCCTTTGTGAGCATCCCGGATAAAGCACGTTGAGAGTATTTCTTTTCAACAGAGAACCCGCTGCAAAGGGAGCAAGTGCTCTAATTCCTGCATCACTGTGGGATTGCTATTTTATTACCATGATCAGGAAATAAAAAGATTTTTAAAACCCCAGCAATAATGCAGGAGGCCTAAGAGTAAGCACACACAAAAAAAAAAAAAAAAACAGAGCACATTTTGTGATTCCTGCACCTCTTGGTTCTGGCTTTTCAAGTGGGCTTTTCAAAAGAAAAAGAAAAGAAGGAAAGGCGCCCTAGATGCTCAACGGAAGGTCTAGTCATTTTCTCTCCTCAGCACTCCTGACGCTATACAGTAAAAAGCTGTTTCCAGGGATTACACTCTGCACGCTCTTCTGCTTAGTAACAACCCATTTCCTCAGCTGAGAGACACTTATTTGTGCACCTCTCTTAAGTGGCTGCTTTCTAGAGAGAACAGGTAAGCAAACATGAAAAGTCTGTCTATATATTTGCCTAAATAAGTAACGTGTTCTCGCAGCTGTTTTCAAGGAGGTCGGCATAAGCACTTCCCGTCTGCGGTCAGACCAGCTGTCTGTCAGTTTGATTCACTGGCAGGGAGAGGTTATTTTTCTGGCATATGCTGCATCTTAAAGTGATTAAGTTTAGGTAGCTATTCCAAAGGAAAATCAGGGATGGCAATGTTAACAACATAATTAAGGTTTAGAAGATGACAGGATAAGATATGGGATAGTGTGTGTGTGTGTGTTGTGTGTGTGTGTGAGAGAGAGCCTCTGTATGTGTGTATCGATACAATATGTACCTTTGCAGTTATCAAGTACTGCAAGTCGAGCATGGTTAACCAATTCAGGGTAACTGAAGGTCAGTTGTATCCTGTGGGATTAAAAATATCAAAACAGCAAGATGCAAACATATTTGTTGTGAACCAAAAGCAAGTAAAACATGTATGTATTGTGAGGAGGGACAGTTTGTCTAATGCAGTAACTGCATAGATCTATAATTTGCTACTTACGATATTAACAGTCAGCTTTTTGCCTTTGGTATTTTTGCTGTACTATCAAGAAGGCCTGAAGGTCACCTGTGTGTTTAGTTACCCCACTGCATTGATTAATTCAGGTATACAGACTAATTCAGATATTTACATCTTTGAAATACATTTGCACTTAAATACATATCTCTGAGGGCTTTTTCAAACATAATACCTTGAAGAGAAATGGAACAATGGTTTCTTTCACCTATGCAAACGTATTGACTTTCAAATGAATGCCATGTAGCAAAGTGCACACCAGCTCAAAATTGGCATGTGGCGATGCCAAGGGCATCATTTGGGATTCAAGCTGGCAACCATAGAGATTGGACTGTGTCACGGGGAAGACCCATCCTTCGTCTAGTCTTAGATACATTTGATTTAAAAAGCCAAAGCAATGTATTTCAATATAATTTATTTTGGCCACTGTCTCTCCATCATAGATATGCCCATATTATCCAACCATCTCAGTCTTATCTCAGGGCAGTGAACTACCAATAATAATAATATTTTTTTTAAAAAAGAACAACAGAGCCTCTTTGGGATAATACATAACATGGTGTGTATAAAAGGCAGCCACTTTCCTTATAATGTCAACATTTGAAAGAAGTTACCATTTTCATTTACTCTATGTGCTGGGATTCTGTTAGTTTGCATATGAGCCACAGGGACTACAGGCATGTTATACATTGACAGAGAAATGCAGGAGATACATCACCTAAAAATAAAGTAAAAGATGTCTTATTGTATGTGATTTGTATATGGTAGTCAACCATGCCTAGCCCTGACTAAATGCAGGAACAACTGGTATAAGCATTGATCTTTGCCCAGTACTGGAATCAGTTGCCTTGGTCAGTGGCTCCCTGCTCCAGAAGCATTCATAATTTAAAAAATCAGACATTGCCAGTGTTATTATACTCATTTAATATGAAAAAGAATCCACTACATGCATCTAGTACAGAGGAAACATGTCACAAGTAATTATGTTACCTACTTTTTGGCGTAATGAGGGCAAAATGACATTTTCCTTCTAAACTGGAAATCTCATTTAAAATAATTTATGTAAAACAGATAACACATATGTATTATTATTTTTCGCCATGTTACTTAAGAGGGTGGTGATTAAATGATTTTAAGAAATGTTGAGACTACATAGGTTAGATAATGTTATTTTGTGATTTTTTAAATGGAGGAAAGATAAATTTAAAATAGCCAATGATGTAGTCAATTACATTGGGAGGTAATAGCAATAATGACCCCCCCCCTTTCGAGGGGGATGGGGAAGCTTTGTAATATGTTACAGATCTCTATATGTTTCTAACATTTAAACTTGCAAGCACCGGTGTAGGTTCATCCAATGGTTTACACATGGCTCTTAGTGCCTGTAACTACCAGAGATTTATGTGCTCTGCATACCATATGAATCTAAGAGGGGTCAGTTGCATCATTTCCCTGCCTATGTGCTAGACAGGAAAAAAATGCATGAGGCAGTTCTGAAAGAGGTCGCAAGCAGACCCATGCCGTGCCTCAAACATCAGAGCTGTGGAGAAATGTCAAAAGTAGTAAATGAAAGCTGATACTATTCAAGCCTTGGGATATGTATGTATAGCGTATACTACTGCACCATTCCTGTCAAACAGTAGTGAAGACGTGCAGGCTCAAAGGCAAGTGATTCAGCTTTCTTGGTTTGTGGCTTAAGCTCTGTTGTTTGCTGTCCACTGGATCATACCCTCCAAAACTTCACGGATGAAAACCAAGACATGTGCGGTCAAGAGTGTGACCAAGTCAGCAGAAAGCATCAATGAGAAAAAAATACGAAAGCTAAGGGAGGCTGCAACAGTTTGCATTGGCCTGAGTTTACTGGGAAGTTCCATCCTTGCCTCTCTTCTCCATCTTAGTGAATTAATAATTTGAAAACTACTTTTGCAGTTTGGAATCAGTTTGCAGCAACTGAAGTGGGAGGAAAAGAGAGATAAAAACAGCTGAAAAAGAGCAATAGCAAACAGTTCGAACTGTCTTCGTCAAACAAAGGCAGTTGGTGGTATACAGGATTTGTGAAGTTGCACAGCTGGACCTCTTTGGTGAGACCCTCAACACTTTGAAACTCCCTATCTGAAATAAACACATATTTCCAACCTTAGAGATTATTAGAAGCACTGTAAAATATTGTGGGTTTTTTTGGTATATGTTTATTTTTCTATGTATATTTTAAGGTATCGAATCACTGCCTATATATGTAAGCCACCTTGAGTCCCCTGTGGGGTGAGAAAGGCTGGGTATAAATATGGTAAAGAAATAAATAAATAAACAAATAATGTATTTGCTCTGGTTCTACATATTTTCCAGCTCCTGATTTATCAGGACAGTCCAGATTGATCTTCTATTATCATATGTTTTACCTGATTTTAAAATGTCCTGGTTTCTGTCTTCTCCCATTTCCTTCTTTGCCCTCAGCTGATTTCTAGTAGTCCAAACTGAGCTCAAAATGCAAATGTCGTTTGCAATCAGCTAACTGAGTGATGGGGGGAAGAGGAAGGGAATCTTGCCCTTCCTTGTAGATTCAGGCAAAAGCAAACTGCTGAAGTCTCAGCTTAGGTGCCCCTATTAATAATTGTTGCCATTTTGACCACACTTGGATGTTGTTTGGCCAAACAGATTCTGGGTTTCATCTGTGGAAATTTGGTGGGTATGGTTCTATTATTATAGATTGGGGAATTATGCTGTTTTAAATTAAATTATAACTATTCTGTTTTAACTGATATGATTTATAACCCACAAAACAGTGTTTCAAGTACAATCCTGGTTCTTAATCTGTTCTGAGTCATCAGCCCCATTTGATAATATAGGCTATGGACCCTCTTTCCATAACATGGTGACAATACTCATTGTAGGCTACAACACCCAATATGGTGAGAAGGGTCCCTGATACTGAAAGCCAGCGTAAGAGAGGATTAATAATATTGCTTGACAAGAGAGAATTCAATACAACATTTTTAAACAAATAGGCAAAAAATGGAAGAGAAAATGCACTCAATTCATTAACCCCAGCACCACCACCACCCACCCTCCCTCCCTGAAGTTTATTCCTGGACCCTTTAGATCATTGTATGTAATGATCAAGACAACATAAAACATTTTAATCGGTTATTTGATTGGCAGTCAAAATAAGTTGCAGTGATGGAATTCACCTGAAACTCAACACTGATGCTCTCCTTTCTATGAGGGCCCTTCCAGACAAGCCCAAATCCTGATGCCTTTCACAATTTAGGCCACACAGCATTCCTAAACCCCAGGTTTTCCCTGGGCAGGGGTTGCTACCAGAGGTCTACCCATCTAGACAGCCCTCAGCTCCCTGTTTCCCCTCTAAACTTCCTGAAAAACTGGGATGACAATGGGGATTGACCCCCAGGATCGTGGAAGACGGTCCCAAGAGTCAATCCCCACAGGCTCAACATCTGGAAAAATCTGGGCCTTGCAGTGAGGTCTTTTCAGGTGTTTTTTTAAAATCCAGAGTAAATTGGGAAATCCCAGTTTACTCTGGATTAATCCGAATTAACCTGAGGAGTTGTTTGGATGCCTCAGGTTAATCAGAAACCCACCATGGGTTTTGGGCCTGTGTGGAAGTGTCCCTAAAGTGCAAAAACAACTGTGTTGCCTTCATCTATCTTTCCTCATTTTTCCCTACACACCTGTTAGGTTTAAGATTATATCTACAAATACATCCATAGTAAATCAACTACCTTCCTCCTGTGTGCCATCTTCTTAGGTACATGCTTTTAAATGCTTACCTAATTTCAACCTGAAAAATTTGTTGCCTAATGCTAAGAAAAACCGATCACAGGAGAATACATAGGGTGATGGCTGTATAGTTCTGAAGTTCTGTTTCAGTTGAAACACAAGGGAAGAAGATTAAAATAGATGTGTTTAGTGATGCAGTTCTTTGATCTTTGCATAATAGAGTTTTTGTAGTCAGTGTAATCTGTGAGTATGATTTTAGAGCATTAACACTGGCTGTACCAATATCCATATCATTTGCTGTTTCTCTTGAAAATATGATCACCACATTGTGTCTGAGACAGAGCTAGCCACCTTTATGTACTTCAGCAACTGGAAATCAAAGACCAAGCTGCTATTTGTAGTAGCTGTATACTACCTGCGGTATCATAGGCAGAATGCCTCTGGCTACAAGTTGCATGTGTATGAGGATGCTGTTATATCTGTATCCTGCTTAGGGGATTCTTTTTGCCATTGGGTTTGTCTCTGTGGGAATGTAATGTTGGGCTAGTAAGCGTTTGGTGCAATCATGTGGGGCTCTTGTATGTTCTGAGATACAGAACGTTCTTGAGTTACAAACACCTGACTTACAAATAACTCATAAAGAACAGGGGTGAGACAACAGAAAGTGAGAGAAATCTTCCCCTAGGAAGAGAAATTCACTCCCGAAAGTTATTACGTGGAAAAGGTGTCTCCACTGAAACTTTCTCACCTATCTTTGTTTCCACAATAAACCAAATTTTTCAAAATCCAATTGTAACAGGGACAGAAAGTGATGTGAAATCTTCTGAAAAGGTGCAAAGACATCAAAACAAATACCACAAGGACGTTAACCCTTTCCTATGCTATCCAATAATAGCATATGACTGGAGTTACACTTAAAAAAATTATTCATTTATTTATACCTCGCCTTTCTCTACTCTAAAGGGGACTCAAGACGGCTTATATAGAGGCAATTATTCAATGCCTTAAAACACATACAATTCCAAAAATTTAAATTAAATTAGATTAAAATTAAAACATATTAAACATTTAAAACATTCAATTCCATATTAAAATCATGACATCCATAGTCCAAGCCATTCCATAGCCATTCCATATATTCCAAATTTGTTAATTGCACTGCACTATTCTCCAAAGGCCTGATCCCACAGCCCATTTTCTACCTTTCTTCTGAAGACTAGTGTCGCTGGGAAGGGAGAGCCATAGCCAAGGGGCCACTACTGAGAAGGCCCTCTCTCTCACTCCCACCAGTCATGTCTGTGAAGATGTGGGACTGACAGAAGGGCCTCCCTGGACTATCTTAATTTCCTAAATAGTTCATAGTGGGAGATATGATCAGACAGGTAAGCTGGTCCAGAACCGTTTATGTACCTGTTCCAACTTTCAAACAAATTCAACTTAAGAACAAACCTACAGTACCTATCTTATTTGTATGTTGGGGACTGTCTGTATAATGTTTTGTACATGGAAATTCATTTTTAGATTTTGGAAAATAGTATCTGCAGTAAAATGTGATTCTTCTTTCCTCCATCACCAAGATACATTGAATGAACAAAAAGCAACCCATTTGTAAAGCACTGAGTTTTCTTGTTTTTACATTGGAATGCAGTGATTTTTATTGTTTGGAGGGAATGTATTTAAAATAAAAACTTCCTATATTGAAGGCTTCATAGTATGTTACAAACATTAACAACCTTAAAAAGCATACAGAAGTGGAAAAAAACTAAAACCCAATGATTTTAATCCATTTTACTGCTCATACAGGCAATTCATCAAGAGCAAATAGTTCCCCCATCTTTCGAGAATACTATTCTGTATTTATGTTTGTGTGTAGCAACATACACTAGGCTTGTCATCACCAAAAAGGAGTGAGAATATGATCAGCTCTAGCTGTTTCTAGCTGGCTAACAGACTCTGGGGAGCCATTATCAGTGCTGGTTGCTGCCGCTATTGAAAACAGCTTTGTATGGAAACGCCTGGGGACTTGAACTGAATGCTATAGGCCAGATTTGGTGGTCATAATATTTAGTAAGGAATACATGGTACCTATTCCTGTGTGTAACCAATGAATAATATTTCCTTTCATTCTATTTTGTAATTCTTAAAATTGTAATTATGGAATGACAAAGAATATCCTAGGAAGCAAAACATTGGTGAAACAGTGGTTTCCTGAATGGCAAACTGCTCTAAACTGAGCCAGATCATCGCTCCTTCAAAAAGTTACTTTTTGATTCTTGGTTTCAAAAATCCAATGTTCTTTGTACTTTTGGTGGTGTCACAAGAGGATCTGATTGTGGTGATTGAGATTCTGGAGAATGAAAAGAGAGGCAATGGGTTCTGTTGGCTTGGCAAGCTTCCACAGAAACCCAACAGTTGTTGTTGTTGTTGTTATTATTATTATTATTATTATTATTATTATTATTATTATTATTATTATTTGAAATTAAGAAGGCTGAGAGCACAGAGAGAAGTATAAACAGAGAGAACTACTTTCGCAAAGGAATGAAATTAAAGGCATTGATGGTAAGTTTAGGTAGGTAGGTAGTAGTTTTCTGAGAATAAGGCTTTGCTGTTTGCTGGAATTATTGTTATTATTAATAACAATAAATCCAGCAGGGATATTTCTGGCTTTCACCAAGTGCATGCAGGCAAGTGTATTTCTGTCATTCTATGTAGGTGTATGTTTATTAGGTGTATGTTTTAAAAAATGTATTATGTGTGAACTGATATACATTATAAATTAATGTATGAGTAATTTTATTTCCTGATATGCTTTTATTTTCTACTACTTTCTTTAGACATCTTCACATGCACTATTTTGTATATGCCAAGGAATGTAGCTGACCATTTCTTTCTTGGGGACTTTTGCCTCAATAAATCCAGCTATGGCAAAGGTAAGTGAAAAAGGGTTTGAACCATACAATTGACCAACAGATCAGTACACATTGTGTAATTTGGGACTTTCAAGGATCAAATATCATTCTGTTTTTGTGAATCAGAGAGGTATTGGACTCTCATACAAATCTAAGAACCTATGAATAATTTAGATATTTATGTTCTGTACTTGCACTCTCTACCAAAACACGCTGATTTTTCTCCATAATAAACTACATTACAGCAATTTTTACAGATGTCTGTTGTAGCAAAATCAACAAAACATTTTAAAAGACCAAGTGATTTATTTTACCATAAACTCATGGACTATAGCAGAGCTTTCCAAACATTTCATGTTGGTGACACACTTTTCAGACATGCATCATTTCGCAACACAGCAATTCAGTTTTACTAACAAATCAGAGGTTAAACCAACCACTTATAAGAGATACAGATGCATACATACATTGTAATAATGAGCACAACATATCTCATGAATATCTTCCATTTAAATTTGAAAAAAAAATGATGTATTGCTTGTTCACTTAGACTCATAGGTTTTGTATTAAATTCATATGGCACACTACACGCTGTAGCTTACACACTAATGTGTCATGACACAAAGCTTGGAAAACTCTGGACTATAGTCTACTTTAGAAGAGAGAATGGAATGAAATCTGAACATTAGGAAGAACTTCCTGACTGTGAGAGCCATTCGGCAGTGGAACTCTCTGCCCCGGAGTGTGGTGGAGGCTCCTTCATTAGAAGCTTTTAAGCAGAGGCTGGATGGCCATCTGTCAGGGGTGATTTGAATGCAATATTCCTGCTTCTTGGCAGGTGGTTGTACTGGATGGCCCATGAGGTCTCTTTCAACTCTTTGATTCTATGATTCTATGATTCTATGAAATTATATTTGAGATCCTGCATGTTAACACACATTTTCAAGGTTTCTCACTTAGATTAATGGAACCACAGAACCATAAAGTTGGACAGACCACAATAGCCATCTACTCCAGTCCCCACTATGCGCAAATCCCTTACTAATGCACTTTCCAAAAATGGCTATGCAATCTGTTTAAAATTCTCCAAAGAGGAAGAGTCTGCCACCCTCCAAAGCAGTCAGTTCTTGAAATATATTGTTTTCTTTGGGGCTCTCACTCTTAATACCTGAACAGCCAAAAGGAAAGGCTTATGATACTTAGAGTTTCTTTAGATCTGTGTTTGAAAGGCTTTTCACAATCAAGAAGGCTGTCTTACTAATTGGAGGAAAAAGCACACAGAAGGTTTGAAATGCCTGCGTTGTTGGTTTTTTGATGTGGAAATAGGCCAATTTGATGTAGAGAAGCCCCTGTTCATGTTGAAAGTCTCCACATGAACAAGAATGCTGGAAAATCAAGGTTCTAGGTTGGGTGGCCATTCTCCATACAAACATGAACTTTAATCTTCATGCTTATTGTTTTCCATGAGTGGAAATCATCAACCGAGTGGAACTGTGCTAAGCACGCTTCTCTATGCTCATTGATTCAAAATGCATCCGTAATTGTTGAACAGGGCTTTTGTTACTCGCACTTCTCTAATGTCTTTTGACCTTTGCCTCTCACTGTTGGTTATGCTGAAGTGGTCACATTGAAGTTCTTTGCCACTTTTCACGGCTTTCCAAAGATGTAGCACGGAAATCTGGAGGAAGTATGAAACTGGGACATTAGTTCCAGAAAAGGCAGCAAGACGGATTCATGTTTCTAAGGCCCTTTGAAGACAAAAAATACTAGCTGTAGTCTGTCTACTTAAAAATAACATTTCCAGGAACAGTCTGCAGCTCTTTCCACAAATGGCCCTCTAGGGGTTCCTTGCCCTACCAGGGTTGCCTGTGAACAAAAAACAGAGACATCCTGCTAGACAGTTTGATCACCTTTTTAACAAAATGCGCAGTACATGGCTTAGTATGACATTTGATTGGAATCTTTTTCTAGCCTGACTTGCAGCTGTGTTTGTTGTCTATTAATCTCTTCTCTGCAAAAATAGGGCAGGAGTTTTAGACTGAGATTTTTTTTTTCCATGTCAGGAGCGACTTGAGAAACTGCAAATAGCTTCTGGTGTGAAAGAATTGGCCGCCTGTAAGGACGTTGCCCAGGGGACACCCAGATGTTTGGATGCTTTACCATCCTGTGGGAAGCTTCTCTCATGTCCCTGCATAGGGAGCTGGAGCTGACAGAGGGAGCTCACCCTGCTCCACGGATTCGAACCTACGACCTGTTGGTCATCAGTCCTGCCAGCACAAGGGTTTAGCCCATTGTATCTCCGGGGGCTCTAAACTGAGATGGTGTGCTGGTTTGTCAGGCTGGTGTACATAGGACCATACATGAAGATCCTGTTACCCTGTAATGCAAAAGAAGTATCTTCAAGTCCACACTATTTTTTCTTGTTCCATACTCGGTGACAATTGTGTCCATTAACAGATCCATTTTACATATGCTGATGGCTATAAATAGAGGTCTGAATGGCTTGGGAGCCAAGTGTATGAAAGACTATCTTATAGGCTACATGAGGCTGCCTTACCTTCAATTCATCAAAGTTTTTTCTTGGAGTTCCACCATTGTCTCCTTACTTAATGGTTCAGTGATTGGGGGCGGGGCGGGGCGGGGGGCGGCTTCCTTGGTTGTTGTGCCTCATATATGGAATTGCCTCCTCAGAGAGGTTCACCTTGTGCCAACTGTATGCCTTTTTGGCATCAGACAAGGACTTGTTTTATTTCCCCAGACGTTCCAGCTTGTTTTGTGGCTGCTTTAAATGTCAGCTTTATTGTTTTATTACTTTTCTGGGTTTATTGTTTTCTTCTACTTTTCTGTGCTTTTTATACTACATTGAATTGTATTTGTTCTTTTTCTGTTCAAATATGTACTGAGCTCTGGGAGTTTTGCCCTGAAGGGTGACTTATGAATTAAAAGAACAAAGAGACCACATGGCTCTCCCCTCCATTCCTCCAGAACATTCATCAGTTGTGCTAGAATCGATGATGTCTGTTATCTTAAATTATGGCCACCATTCTGCCTTCATTAAAGATCTGGGGTCCTTTCATACTTACTACACAATTATATCATTGTGATTCCATTTTACCTGTGGGAGGGTGCATCCTATGGAATTCTGGGATTTGTAGTTTAATAAGGCACTAGAGCTCTCTGGCAGAGAATATTCAATATCCCTCCATAAATTGCAAATTCCAGGATTCTAAGTTAAAATGGAGTCATAGCATTATAACTGTGTTGTGCAAAAGGACCCAAAGCCCTACTAAAGCCAGTAGGCTTTACTTCTGACTGAGTGGGCTTGGAATTGTATTGTACCAATGCAGCCCTATGCATGCCTACTCAAAGGTCAGCCATTGAGGCCCCTTCCACACAGTTGAATAAAATCCCACATTATCTGCTTTGAACTGGAATATATGGCAGTGTGAACTCAGATAACCCAGTTCAAAGCAGATATTGTGGGATTTTCTGCCTTGATATTCTGGAATATAGGGCTGTGTGGAAGGGCCCCGAGTTCAATTGTCCTTATTCCACTGTAATATAGCCTAAGTAGAAAACTTAGTAGAAAACACAGGAACGTTCTTCAGCAGCAACTGTAATCTTAAATAATACCACGTGTGTGCTTTCAAATCACTTGTCAACGTATGGCAACTCAATGAATATCATAGGGATCTCTTAGGCAGGGGATACTCAGAAGTGCTTTGCATTGCCTTTGCCTGAAATGTAACCTAGAGCACCTGGTATTCTTGGCTGATTTCCATCCAGGGCTAACATTTGCTTAGCTTCCAACATTAGAAGGGATCTGGTATATTTGGATCTCTGCAAATCATTACGCCATCTTCATCACAACTGAATAATATCTGCATTATGGAGGGATACATTTGTTCATTGTAGAGACAGAGGATTTATTTTATAGAAGGCATACACTGCCCGGACCTGATCAGTAATATTTGGTGTAACTATTTGTTATATCTTCAGCGTATGGAGGCATTGAATGTTTGCTGTCGTATGTTGGAATCTGCCCTGAGTCCCCTTGGGGGGATGAAATATAAATAAAGTTTTATTACTTATTATTTTGTTGTATCTTTATGTTTGTTGATTTTGTGTCTGTCTTAAAGAGCTTTTGACTTGTAAAACTGTAAATAAAATTCTAAAAAGATTAGCTTCTACCTCTGCATTACATTGAGGTTTCTGAGTTCATCAATGTGAAGTGCCTCAAATGTTGTTGTTTTCCTTCCAAGTTGTTTTGACTTATGGTCAGCCTTATGGGCTTTCTTGGCAATATTGTTCAGAGGGTATTTGCCACTATCTTCCTCTTGGAGAGGTGTGCTACTTATCCAGTAGGCCTGTTTGATCAAGAAAAAATTTGTTTCTAAAATCGTTTTGTAATTGGGGTGTTTTTTTGTTTCGATATTTAAAATAATTACAAAACTTTTCCAAAAAAAGTTTTGGTATTTACGAAATTTTGTAATTATTAACGAATTTTTAGAATATTTTTTTTGTATTATTTAATAATAATATTAAAATAATATTAAAAAATAATATTAAAAATAATATTAAAAAATAATATTAAAAATAATATTAAAAAATATTTTAAAATGGAAAACGAAACCGCACAGGCCAGACATAGCGGGTTTGAGTCAGACCCAGCTAACACCTCCCAACAAAGGATTCCCCTGAGCAGGAATAATATTAAAATAATATTAAAAATAATATTAAAAATAATATTAAAAAATAATATTAAAAATATTTTAAAATGGAAAACGAAACCGCACAGGCCTACTATACAGACATAGCGGGTTTGAGTCAGACCCAGCTAACACCTCCCAACAAAGGATTCCCCTGAGCAGGAAGGAGCCAGACTTTGAAGCTACAAGGCCATTTAATCCCAATCAAGCTGTCCAAACTCCATTTGCCAGTAGTTTCCAACAGACCTCTGAGGATGCCTGCCATAGATGTGGGCAAAATGTCAGGAGAGAATGCTTCTGGAACATGGTCATACAGCCCAGAAAACTCACAGCAAGCCTGGATGCAGCTCCTGCGCTCCGCCTCCGGGGGCCCGGCTCCTGCGCCCTCCGGGAGAGAAAGAGAAGGAAGGAAGGAAGGAAGGAAGGAAGGAAGAGAGAAGAAAGGTGGGAGTGAGGCTAGGCAGAGACGAGAGAAAGAGAGAAGGAGGGAAGGAGACAGAGGGAGAAGGAGAGAAAGGGGGAACGCGAGAAAGAGAGATAGAAAGAGGGGAAAGGGGGAGTGTGTGAGAGAGAGAGAAAGAGGGAGGGAGTGAGAGAGAAGGATGGAGTGAAAGAGAGAAGGGGGAGGAAGGAGGGAGGCGAAAGAGAGAGAGAAAGAGGGGAAACGAGGGAGTGTGTGAGAGAGAAAGGGGAAAGAGAGAGAGAGAAGGAAGGAAAGAAGCGGGAGGAAGGAGGGAACGCGAGAGAGAGAGGCAGGGGCGGGGCTTGGCTCACTGGGTGCGTGCTCGCGGCGCCCCTTCGCCCCGCCCGTCCGCCCCATTTAGAGGGGGGAAACGAGGGAGTGTGTGAGAGAGAAAGGGGGAAAGAGAGAGAGAGAGAAGGAAGGAAAGAAGCGGGAGGAAGGAGGGAAGCGAGAGAGAGAGGCAGGGGCGGGGCTTGGCTCACTGGGTGCGCGCTCGCGGCGCCCCTTCGCCCCGCCCGTCCGCCCCATTTACAAAACGAGCGAAAGCTCGTAAATACTCTTGGAGTTGACGTTTCGATATTTTAAAACCCTTCCGGGTTTGAAATATTGTTTTGTTATCGTACCGTAAATGCAAAAATTAACGAATTTAAAACGAAATAACGAATTAACGAATTAAAACCGACAGGCCTATTATCCAGGACTACCCAGTGGGTTTCCATGGCCTAGTGGGAATATGAACCATTGTCTTCCAAAATCCAAACCTAACACTCAAGCTATTATACCACACTGTCTCACTCACCCCAAATGTACTTGTATTCAACTTGAATGTCTTTTCTTGCTGTTTTTGTTGCAGAATTGCTCTGGATGCAAGGAGAAGAGGCCTGCCCACAGTTTATGTACTAGCTGTAACAAATGGCTGTGCAGCTTGTGTACAGAGGAACACAGACACAACAAAGAACCAGAAGAGCATTTCTCGCCTATTCCACTGAAAGGATGTTCAGGTACATATGTGATTCCATCAGATTTTTCTTTTATCGATATTCTGAACGGTTAATGTCATAACTCAGTCACAGATACCATGTAAGTGAAGGAAGTGAGAGTGCAGTGGTAGATTTCTCATCTGATTTAAGTGGAATTGTTAAAACAGATGCTTGCTTCAGAGGTGAAGTTGGGCAGGATCAGGGAAACCACAAGAGAAAACATGTAGAGAAGAGATAATCAGACAGGGACAAGCTGAATCATCAGTTTTGTGTTTATAAAAACAGCTATATTTCTATTCTCTTTCTAACAAGGAACACCTAATAGGTGAAGAGTAATTCCTGAGACTATCTGTTGAGACTTAGAGCACAGATAATGTCTTTCACAGCAATAGAAATGCTAATAATAGTCTTTAATGAGGTACAACAAAAGAGGCACTTAACAGCAGTGAAAATTAGCAACTCAAAGGAACCTTCAGGCAGGTAAACAAACAGTCAGTAATCCGGATCTTCCAGGCTTGAGCTCAGCCGAAAAGGAAACAGAAGTAAACAGAAGCGTATTTGCAAACGCGAACTCAAAATAGTCTCTTAATGCAACAGAGTTCTAAACAGAAACAAGGTCCAATAAGCAAAGGCGTGGTCCAAGATGATTCCAGGGTCGAAAGCACGATGAAGACACTCACGAAAGATGATTCCAAGGTCCAGATATGCAAGGCAGGAAAACTGGATATGCAAGGCAGGAACGCTGGATACCAGGAAACTCAAACAAGAATTAGGCAGGCACAAAGCACGTAAGCAACACTTTGTCTTCTGCAAAGTAACATCTCCCAACATGCTCAATTTATGCATCACTGCTATCGCTTGATGGAGCTTCATCGTTCGCATCTGAGTCTGACTCATGTCCTGCAGCTGCGTCCTGTTGGTCCCTCCAATGTTGCCATCTTTGTTCCAGGGCCTGATCCTGCCAAGAAGAACCCTCCTCCCAAGCATCCTGGAACCCTTCAAATTTCTCGCTGGATGTAGGTTGGGCGCATATGTCCCTAATGTTCTGAACCAGAGTCCAATCTAGTTCCTCCTCCATTTCATCCTCACTAGAACTGGAAACGCCTGCTGTGTCTTTAAGTCTTTTGGACAGAGTATCACTATCACTGCCAGACTCACTGGCCACCCGCTTTACTCCCCGGTAATCTGACTCTACTGCGTCCTCAGGGCCGAACCCTGCAAAGTCTTCTGTGTCAGTCGGAGCCAAAAAGATATCACGAATGCGCTTCAGCTGGCGCTGCTCCAAATCAGATTCAGCCTCACTCCTCCTTCTCCTGCAACCAGTAGTAGATACGGTGCCAGGACGCTGAGTCTCCACACTATCTATTAGCCTCAACAGCAGTAAGGTTCATGCTGTTTTGTCCTGAATTTTATTTTGACTTATATGTTTTCTTGATATAAGTGTTATGATATGATATCAAAAAGGAGTTTTCTCTAAGATATATTTACCTGTAAGGTGACTGGTTAGACCAAGAAAAACTTTACCAATTAAGAATTGCAAATTCAGGCTACCACGTTGATATGTTATTCAGATAGTTTGTTCATTATTCAAATTATGTGGCAGATCATGGAAAGGTTGGCCAGAATACTTGGAGCCCACTCTTACTTATTTTCCAATAGGAGGCAATCTTTTCAATGTTCTACATATACTAGAAATAGAAAGTTAGATCGTTAACCATTAATTGCACCAATTACTGCCAGAGTGCACAGTCAGTAGATAAGAGATGCTGATATTCCATACATATAGCCCTCTTGAGAATGAAGTTTCCATAACATTTGGCATTCCACTTGAATCACCTAAAATTGCTTAACTACCTTTTTTTGTAAATGTTGTGTTGTTCCAGTGGTAAGAACAACTTGAAGTGAAGGCTTAAGAAGTCTGATTTCCCAGTGCCCTGCTTGAAAGCAACTGCTAGCATTTCAACCCAAACCTTTGGCTCCTGATGAGTCCTTTGCCACCTAGCGGTTCAGTGCAGTAACACAAACTACAGATTTTAATTACAGAAGGACAGTCTTACTTCCATATTGTGGTTTTGACTTTTGCAGTGTTGTAGTTATTCTTGGATTTGATCAAAAACTGTCCTCTTTAGGAATCTTTCTGTCCTCCAGTGTGACTCTACTGTCACCTTCCTCCAGTCATGCTGAAGTATCTAGAGATTTCTAGAGAGAACACTTTTCTAGAATCTCTAGGTCAGTGGTTCACAACCTGTGGGCCCCCAGGTGTTTTGGCCTACAACTTCCAGAAATCCTAGCCAGTTTATCAGCTGTTAGGATTTCTGGAAGTTGAAGGCCAAAACATCTGGGGACCCACAGGTTGAGGACCACTGCAATAGGTTCTCCAATGCGATTTTGTGGTCAGCTTCCAGCAGAATTTGACCATAGAGTTGTGCTGGAAGACTTGGATATTCCTAGTTTTGTACCCAAGAGGTGTTCTCTGGATAAAAAAAGCCAATTTCTTTATTCTTGCCCCCTACTCCACACATTTATGGAGATCTTGTGCCCCTATCACCAATGAATGTGGAGGGCTGACTCTAGTCATGCCTTTTAAAATAACCATAAGATGCACCCCTCAAGGTCTCTTTGCTAGTCGTGTCAAATTTCAGTGTGTATGTTTTGTGGTTGTGAACTTATGATGGACAAAGGTAGACATACCTTATCTATTATTATAAGAAATTACAGAAATATATTTTTGTACCTGAAAAAGTAAAATGGACCAAAAGTTTATTGGAGTAATATGTTTATAGCTTGTCGAAAAGTGTTAATGTCTTACCACTGTTAAGAGCTCTGTTGTCTTGGCAAGCAGGCATATCAGCAGCATTAATAAAAGAAGCTTTCCTTGTACCCATTTTCCATTAGTACCCTGTAATTTTGCTGCCTTTGAAGCTTGTAGTATGTGACTGAATCAGAACAAACTAACAGGGACTAAAACATCTGATGCATGTGGAAATCAATATTTATTAGATGTGGTTCAGGTGGCAGGGATATATGTGAAGAAAATTTAACATACCTACTGATCTGGGAAAAGTTTGTATCTCAGTCTGTGTATTGTAGCCTGCAGATGGATAAATAAGCACAAGAAAGTAGAAACTGATACATTTCATACAGTGCTCTGAGAAATGATGTGTATAGCAGTTGAGTTGACGTTGTGCTTAACACAGGTTATATTTGTGCTTTGCTGAAAATGTGTGCATTTTGTACCAAGAAAATTTAAGAGGATGTGCTTTGAATAGATTATGCAAATTAATAATATATTGAAATGTGTTTATTTTGCATAAGAACCACTCAAGTTGCACACTATGCTAGTTCAATAGAGCTGTAAGGAACTCAACTGTGAATAATATGTAGTTGTAGGGATTGAGTAAGTAAGGGAATGTGAATGGAAACCATGGATGCTAAGGGGCAGAAAAACAGTGGGTTTTCCACATGCCACCGCCATGTTTCAATATTTTACCAGATGTTTATTTTCTCCTGAAACCTCTCTTCTCCTCATTTTTCTCCTTTTCCATTTTCTCCACCCAGTACATCCTTTGAGGAAGATTTCACCTAAGATTGTAGCATAACAATAATAACAACAATAAAGCATTGTTGAAGCCTTCCATGGCTGGAATCACTGGGTTGTTGTGGGTTTTTCGAGCTATATGGCCATGTTCTAGAAGCATTCTCTCCTGACTTTTCATGGATGTCTGCCATAGATGCAGGCAAACCATCAGGAGAGAATGCTTCTAGAACATGGCCATATAGCCCGACAAACCTACAACAACCCAACAAAAAAGTAACCCTGCAGCATTGTCTATTTATTTTAGCATTCCCCTAGCAGTCAACTACATGACCCTATGAGATGACTGTAATCAGTATTTCTGCTGAGAGGAGACAACATATGGTAATTGGTTGAGCATCACTTATCCAGTAATCTGAAGCATTCCTCAATTTGAAACATTTTGCCATTGGCCACCTCGTTTCATTTTCCTTTCTACCTGCCTCTGTCATGGGGGAGGGAAAAAGGGCAGACCAAGTACCTCACCTCTTTTTGTTGTTGCAGCTTCCATAATCTCCTTCTCTGCTTTCATCCCCCTCTTGGTGTCATTATTGCCATCATCCCCATGAAATCACCACACTGGTAGGAGTGAAAGGAGTACTGGCCTACTTGCTTCACATCCACAACTATGGTACTCTGCTGAGATGATGGTGGCAGCAACACAAGTGGAATAAAACCAGCCATTTTGCTTCCTTGTTTGTTTTCCTACAGGGGATCCCTTTTCATATATACATCACATTTTCTTTTTCCATCTTTCCTTATCCACTGGTGTCCCCCCACCACCCCCAGATAATAATAATACAATAATAAAACATTATTTATACCCTGCCTCCATCTCCTCAAGGGGACTCGGAGCGGCTAACATGAGGCCGAGCCCAATAGTTATAACAAAGCAAAATAAATACAACATACAATCATAAGATAATACATAAAATAAAACACAATGAACTATATGAAAAAGTAATACAAAATAAACACAGGGTACAACAAAATAAAGACATTAAGCCGAGTGGGCAGGGCTAAGTATAACGGATAGGAGTTTAAAACCCTGGGTGAGGTGGATAGTAGGGTAACTTATCTGGTGGGCGGTTTGGATGGTATGACCAGTGGGACTTAATTTCAACTGAAAAGTGAGATAAAGTGCATTGAAGGGCAGTTGGTCAAGGTACGGGGATTTGTTATTCATTCCTCAAAGGCACACCGGAACAGCCAGGTTTTTAGGCTCTTCCTGAATGCTGCCAGGGTGGGCGCTTGCCTAATACACAAGTGGTGCATGGCTGTGAGGGCAAACATGTTCAGCATGAGATGGCAGTTGAGGCATTTTGAGGTTTTGTGTGTGTGTATGTGTGTGTGTGTGTAAATATATATACACACATACATATACACATACATACTCTAAATTCTGGAAAAATCCAAAATCCTAACTGCTTCTCATCTGAAGCATTTTGGATAAGGGCGCTCTAATGATATCTGGATTTTAAAACCCACAGTGACATCTTAGTAGGCCTTCACTACCATTTTGTTCAGAAGAAGACTGGTCCAGAAATTCTACAGCATCCCTGAAGACTGCTGAGTAGGAAGTCATAAAAGGGAGTCACAAAGCAGGCTGGATTTCTCTGTACTTGGTTCATGCTTGATTTTTGTGGGCTTGAATATAGGTAATCTAGAAATTCACATACATGCATCCCAGATTGGCTTTTATAACATCTCGAAAACCACTGTACATAGTAATGCAATTGTCGTACACTTATTCCATCATTTCCTTAAGGAACATGAATGAGAGCCATAATGAAGAGTGTTCAACACTGTCTCTATAACAAATTTTGTCATTTTGAGTTATCAGTAAGTTGCCTATTGTGCACTTCCACTTTGTTTCATGAATATCTTATTTCTCTTGCATTTGTAATTGTTTCTATGGCTTTGATTAACAATTTGCAGGCATGATGCATCTTTATGCAAAAATTTACTTTTGGAAACATTGGTGACAAAATTGCATACTAGGATCTGTAAATCTGTAGTTTTTTAAATATCTCTACTGTTGAATAGATGTTTGAAAAGATAGTAGATAACAACCTTATTCTCCAGCTCCGCATAGCCTTGGTTGCCTGACCCAAAATTTGGCCTTGGGAGCATAAGGATGAGGCCCACCTCTGTTCACTTGCTGAGATAGACCAATGTCAAATACCTTTCAATCAGGAATATGCAGCTTGGGAAGGAGGTGAATTTCTATTCTATTTCTAGTCATGTAGTAAGTACTTTTTAAAGTACAATGAATAGTTTAGTTGAGACATTCAAGTATCTGTGCCAGCTATCATCTTTTGTGTGAGTTGCTAACAACAAAGAAATTGAACAGGATTATCATATTGCATATAGAGACATGCAGAATGTGTGGAACAAATGCCACAGAAATTATATATGCCTCTGGAGTAATTCTGAATCAATCATGCTTCCAGGAGCTGATGGGGAAACAAGTGAATTTCCCTTGTTTTGCCCTATGCACAGTCAAGAGGCACTCAAACTATTTTGTGAGACCTGTGATGTCCTTACTTGCCGCTGCTGCCTTCTGATAGAGCACAAAGAACACAGGTACTAAATATTAACTGTCTGATATATGTCTTTAACTAAGCTGTGTATAGGGTGGCCAAAAGCACTGCCAAAACTTTAATAGTTCAGCTGAAGAGAGAAATGTGGTACAGTAGCTTGAGTGTCAGACTAGAAGTGGTTCTGTACAGGCAGTAAATCTGATTTAGGAACTGGATTAAAAAGAACGGTCCCTCTGCAGAGCACCTACACAATCGCCCCACGAACTAGTTCAAGACTGGGATGCTGGCCATATCACCCACTGATTGCAGATCGGTTATGAACCCAGGACTGCTTTTTCTTAACCAGTCCACTGTGGGGTGATTATTACCTTCTGGTCCAACTGTGGTTCAACATGTTTCAAAAGTGCATCAGTTGATAGGGCTGTCCTATCTCGGTTTTCCCATCCCAGTTTTGGGCCCTGTATAGGATATATAGTCTAATTGGTTGCAGTGATTTTTTTTATTTATTCCAGACTTTTTGGTGAGTTTTTTTAATTTGCTGTTTAATTTGTTAAATTTGCTGCAGCACGCATTGGGTTGTATGTTATGTGGACACCACAACCTTGAGTCAGCTTCCAACTGTGTGGAGCCACCATAGGATTCCAATAGATCATTTTTTTTCCCTTTCTCTCCCGCATCCTTTCCTCTTTCCTTTTATCACTGATACAGCATCTCCATATCTGTTTTGAATAATCCATTCACTCTTACACACATTGCAAGCGGTATATTGTTGTTCTTATCGTTCTTCAAATCAACTCTAGATTTAAACATTCTAATAGATTCTCAGGCATAGCCACACACATTTCTGAAGTATTCGCCTGCCCCCCTCCCCAAAATGTATACCCTCTTTTCCAGCAAATAGTAGCTATAGAGATTATTTGAAAGTTAAGTAAATGCATTAGATATAAGTATATTTAAATTGAAGAATCAATGTTATAATCATGATTTAATCAGTTACAAAATTCATCTGAAATTACAGTTTTATGTTTAATTTGTTGTCTCTGCACATTAATGCATGCATCATATTGCTAAAGCACAGTTTTTAAAATCACTTAAAACTTCCCTTGTCATTTTGTGATGCTTCTCTACTGTTGGAATCACAGCTAAGGCTGTGTGCAATTTTTGAAAAAGAAAAATGCAAAATTAAAATAAAATTCCAGAATCACACGATGTTAAAGGTATATGAATTTGTGAAGGCATACTGTATTTATTAACATCCCATGTACACATAAAACATCTTACTCCTTCATGCAGTCAGAATCCTGCCAAATTAGCTGAGTAGTGTGCAGGTGGTGAAAGGGGAACCTGCATGAAGGAAGTTTAACCTTCCCTGCCATTTCCCCTTGATTTATCTCAAAGAACTGAACAATAAGGAGGAAGGGGACGTCAGGGTTACTACTGCTCAACTGTTTGCTGACAATGGGGTGATGAGATCGTGGGGAGATGGGGTTTAAATCTCCCTTCTGCATGATCTCACCTTGCTGAGTTGTTCAGCTGACTTCTGTCAGACACCTGACCAAAGGATCAAAGAGGAGGTTGGCTAGTTAAGCTTCATCTTCCTTGTTCAGGCTTTGAATTCCAAGAATTTAAAGAAAAACACCAAAACTTTTCTTCTTTTCCTAGGTTCAGGCATCTTCACGAAGCTTTGCAAAACCAAAGAGCTATCCTGGAAAATGTCATGGCTAAAGTGGAAGAGAAGAAAAATGGAGTTCAGGTCTCAGCCAAGCAGACTGAAGACAGGTATTGTTGGAACACCTCTTTCATAAGAAGATTAATTCTGATAAGAGCCTACTTTACTAGAACATTTCCTTCCAGTGATTTAACATATTGGATGGCTCTCTGTACATTTCTTTGTACGTCCCTGCAGATTGTGAAATACTAAAAAGGCTATTAAAAACATGATACTGAGATATTTTTTTCCACTTTATCCTTCCAGTGATAGAGGCTCATCGAAATAATGGCTGAAGCATGTAATGGGCCCCCATCTGCATTGTGATTGATAGTTGTGAATCTGTGAGGGGGACATCATCTTTTTTGCAGGCCCAGGTCCAATGGCCATTGTGTGACTTCTTAGGCCATTTTTGTGGCGGTCTAAATCCATAATATGACTATTCAGCCAAGTAACCTGCCATCTGGATTTCTTCTTCAAAGGGAGTCAACTTTCCCCTTAATGGTTCTGTGAACTGGATCATAGGGAGGACATATCCAGGGCAGATCCTGTGAAAAATGCTCTAGTGGCTTATCCATGCCCTTCCACCTATTTTTCCTTTAATTCCACATCTGAAGTGATATAGAGGGAAGTGTGCAGAGCTTGGGTAGAGATGGGAAAGTTGTGTGCTTAATTTGGAGAATAGTATTTTGAAAATAATCATTTTGACTGCCATAATGTCCTGTTCTAAGCATAATTTTGCCCTTCCCAGTAGACTCAGACAAAAGCAAACTGCTGTAGCCTCTCCTTTTCTGTCTGTTTTTCATTCATAACTCCTGTTTTCTTGGCCACACTTTGATGTTGCTTAGCAACATGTGCCAGAAAGCTTCTGTCAAACAAAAGGAACTTCCTTAACATTTACTAAAGTGGTATCTATTAAACATTCTAATTCATAGTGGATGCTTCCTTTCTCTACAGATTGTTTGAAGTAAAACATCTGCAAAGAAAAGTAGAAAACCAGATAAAAATGGCCAAGATGGTCCTGATCAGTGAAATAAATAAGCGAGCAAATGTTCTCCTCGAACAGCTAGAGGTAAGTAGGAGGATGCTGTTGTAAATGATCCTTTGCATCCATAAAGGTATTGTTTACAAACTAGAACACAATGTATGAACCAGAACATTTATTTATGTAATGAATATCCTGGCAAAAGGATGCAGGAAATGAGGATACATGGGGAGACAAATCTATTCCAGGTGATATGAAAATGTTTGCTATGCATGGGATGCTTTGGGAGAAATCATCATTATCATAATCTTCAGCATATTTTATTTATTGATAGCCTACCTTTTTGCAGCTTTGGGATTAAGACATCTTATAAATATTAAAACAGAGGCCAATAAAAGTTTACACCACTAAAAGGACACAAAAGTTAACCTTTTAAAAAGCTATCAATAGAATTAAAAGCAATTTAAAAGCATATCTATCAAAAGCAACAAATATGGACAATAAAGTGCATAATTAAAAGCTCTGTTGCCATAAATGATCAGTTACCAAAATCTGTTGAAAGAATTCATTACCTTCAGCTGAAAGCACTCTATAGAAGGAGGGAGTCTAAACCTTCTAAGGAGGCTGAACTTAGGAAACTGGGAGAAGCCACTAAGAGGAGCACACATAAAAGTGTGTGTGTGTGTGTGTGTGGGGGGGGGGGGGTGTCAAGAATAAAGAAATTGGCTCTCTCTTTTTTTGTACCCAGAGAACACCTCCTGGGTATAAAATTAGGAATATCCAAGCCTTCCAGCACAACTCTATGGTCAACTTCTGCTGGAAGCTGACCACAAAATCACATTGGAGAACCTAGAACAGTGGCCCTCAACCTGTGGCTCTCCAGATGTTTTGGCCTCTTCTCCATTTTACCAGGTGTGCTTATAGGGGGTGGTGGGACTGGGAAAAAAGCCTATCTCAAAATTTAGGTGGGCTTATATAGAGGAAAATATAGTCCTTCAGGTAACCTAAACCTAAAGATGGTCATTTGATTTTTATATGAAGATAGAAAGCACAGAACTGCATATCTATTGAGCCTATTCAACATGGATTTCTTAAAAACAAGCTATGTCAGACTAATCTTATCACTTTTTTCGATAGAGTTACAAGCTTGGTAGATGCAGGGAATGCTGTAGATGTAGCATATTTTGATTTCAGCAAGGCCTTCAACAAAGTTCCCCTGACCTTCTTGCAAATAAACTACTCATATGTGGGCTAGGCAATGCTACTATTAAGTGAATCTGTAACTGGTTAACTCAAAGGGTGCTCCCCAATGGTTCCTCTTCATCCTGGAAAGGAGTGACTAGTGGAGTGCCGCAGGGTTCGGTTGTAGGCCCAGTACTGTTCAACATCTTTATTAATGACTTGGATGAAGGTTTAGAGGGCTTGCTTATCAAGTTTGCAGATGACACCAAATTAGGAGGGATAGCTAGTACTCCAAAGGACAGGATCAAAATGAACTTAACAGATTAGAGAACTGGGCCAGAACAAACAAAATGAATTTCAAAAGGGACAAATGTAAGATACGATACTTAGGCAGAAAAAAATGAAATGCAAAGATACAGAATGGGTGATGCCAAGCTTGACAACAGTCCATGTGAAAAAGATCTTGGAGTCTTCATGGACAACAAGTTGAACATGAGCCAACAATGTGATGCAGCAGCTAAAAAGCCAATGGGATTTGGGGTTGCATCAAAAGAAATACAGATTGAGGGAAGTGTATTCCACTTTGGTTAGACCTCACCTGAAATGCTGTGTCCAATTCTGGGCACCACAGTTCAAAAGAGATATTGACAAGCTGGAAGGTGTCCAGAGAAGGGCAACTAAAAATGATCAAAAGTCTGGAAACCATGTCCTATGAGGAGTGTCTAAAAGAGCTGGGTATGTTTAGCCTCCAGAAGAGAAGGTTGAGAGGAGACATGGTAGCCATGTATAAATATGTGAAAGGGTGTCATATGAAAGAGGGAGTAGGTTTGTTTTATGTTACCCTGGAAACTAGGACTCAGAATAATGGGTTCAAATTACAGGAAAGGAGATTCCACCTGAACATTAGGAAAAACTTCTTGACTGTAAGAACTATTCAGCAATGGAACTCTCTGCCTCAGAGAGTGATGGAGGCTTCTCCCTTGGAAGCTTTAAACAGAGGTTGGATGGGCCATCTGTCAGGGTTGCTTTGTTTGTTTTTCCTGCATAACAGGGAGTTGGACTAGATGGCCCATGTGGTCTCTTCCAACTTTATTATTCTATTCCATTAGTGTGTGATGCAGACAGATAAGGTCATAAAAGGACTCCAGTTCAGATCAGCACATACAGTGTCCCCTTGCTACTTTGCGGTTTGTTTTTAGTGGACTCGTTGTTTCATGAGTTTTTGAAAATATTAATAAAAATATTAAATATTTATGTCCAGTGGACGCCAGGGAGGCCAGGGACCCCGGAAGTGCGGCTGCCTGAGGCACGGCGGTGAAGGCCTGCCTCCCTGGCCTCCACAGACCCCGGAAGTGCAGCGGCCTGAGGTGTGGCAGGGAAGACCTGCCTCCCTGGCCTGCTGATGCCTGCGTGGCTCTGGAGGCTCTGCGGAGGCCAGGGAGGCAGGCAGGTGCCCTTGGGATGGGCCAGGAGGCAGGTAAGGAAGTGCGAGTAAGAAAATAATATATAAAATATATAAAATAATGTATAAATATTAAAATTAATATGGTGTTCCTACTTCACGGATTTTCACTTATTGTGGGTGGTGCTGGAACGGAACCCCCACGATAAGTGAGGGAACACTGTAAACAATTCCTGGTTTAGTAAAAGGGCATATGAGTGAAATCTGCAACCCTCCTCAGCCCCTTTATGTTTTGAGGCTTCAGTTTCATGACTGCCAAACTGTTAGGCTTCTAGTGGCCACAAATTAACATTTCTTCTGGTGTGTTATTTCATTGCAAGTCATTAATGTTGTCACTATTTGCAAAAGGAATTCTTTCAAAAGAAGATCCCTATATTTTAATCCCACTTTTGCTTCCTGGTTTGTATTATGAAAAATATACCAGTAATTCTTTTATTAATCATACATCTTGGTTATGGATTTGTATGCCTTGTGTTGCTTTTGTACTCACAATTTGTTATGTAAAGAACAACAGTTTCTGTTTGTGATTATTGACAGAGGATCTCCAGCGAAAGGAAGCAGAAACTAGAACAACAGCTTCAGGGCATCATGATTCTAAACAGGCAATTTGAACATGTGCAAAACTTTCTCAGTTGGGCAGTGTGCAGTAAAAATGATGTTCCATTCCTCTTCAGTAAGGAACTGGTAAGTGTTTTCTCCTTTTTAGTAAGGAATAAATGCTTGCTATAATCATGAGACATTAAACAAATGAAAGGAACTGAGAAAACAAATCCCAAAGTGACTGCTTAACTGCTTGTGCATTGACTTTTAAGAGTGCATTTAATTCTTAGAAGTAAAATCAAAGGTGAGGAGGAAAGCAGAACTTGGGTACATCACTTTTCAAAACTATAACTCACAGAATTCCCCATCCAAGCATGAAGACTCTGGGAACTGTAGTCTCAAAAGGAACATTGCTAAGCTCTGAAAGGCAATAAAGATGCAACTATGACAGATATTTTGGGGGAAATCCACGTTGGAGAGACAGTAAAATAAACAAAACCCAAAAATATAGAGCAGGGGTCCCCAAACTTTTTAAACAGAGGGCCAGGTCACAGGCCCTCAAACTGCTGGAAGGCCGGATTATAATTTTTTTAAAAAATGAATGAATTCCTATACACACTGCACATATCGTATTTGTAGTGCAAAAACACTTAAAAACAATACAATAATTAAAATGAACAATTTTAACAAATATAAACTTATTAGTATTTCAATGGGAAGTATGGGCCTGCTTTTGGCTGATGACATAGGATTGTTGTTATTGTTGTTGTTGTTGTTGTGTGCTTTCAAGTCATTTCAGACTTAGGTTGACCCTGAGCAAGGGCCGGGTAAAAGACCTTGGAGGGCTGCATCCGGCCCCCGGGCCTTAGTTTGAGGACCGCTGATATAGAGAGTAGAATAAGATCATATCTTTTCTACTGTGCTGAATGGTTACTCTGATTGATGCCCTTTATGCAGCCCTTAAGTTTCACTCTACTTCTACACATGGTTTTACCTATGCTATGCCTAGATCAGGGATCAGTGCAGATGGAATACACAGCTCATTATTAAGTCATGCATTTTATATTTGTTTATAATATGCATTAATGACTTTTCTCCAAAAAGGCAACCAAGGCAATGTATAATAAAAAAGTATTACAATAGTAACTATAGCATCCAAAACAAGTGATACAAATACAGAGGTTACACATACAGACTGCAGAGAAGAAATGCGTGGAAAAAATAATCTCATTGCCTCAAGCTGTAAACACATCAGTGTGATACTTGTAAGTAGGTACTCCACTTTGAAGAGGTTAGGTGTGGAAAACCTCCATAAAAGTGGAAAATCTGAAAGTATTTTTTCTTTACCTTAGAGAACACCACTCTAGGAATCTCTAGGTAGGCCTGTGTGACTCTATGGCTAACTTCCACCAGAATTTGAACATAGATTCATGCTGGAGGACCCACAGATGCCTAAAGAAGTGTTCTCTCTAGGAATGTCTAGATCCTCCAGCACATCTCTGTACTCAGTATCCACTAGAATTAACTATAAAATCATGCTGGAAGAATACCAGGGATTCCCAAAAAGGACATATTAATAACATTCATGAATAATCAAATCTGCAAAAATTAAACCTGAAAATGTGGAGGTATGATTATTTCTTGTGAGTATTGAATTTTGAGGGAGTTCACAATTAATTCAAAAGAGTCCTTCTAAGTTAACAATGATATTTCAGTCCAGCATGAATTAGCTTAGCCTGAACAGACAAGCATACATAACTGAATTTCTAAATCTGACCTTAGACTGATCTCTATATTTTGCTGGAGGATAAGCACATTTAAAAATAAAATCTGTGACCATGGGCAAAATAGTTCAGAAAATAGGTCAAGGATTTATATACACAAAAAGATATTGTGGATTTGTTTATTCCATTATTCTTAGGTATGTTACTGACATCTATCTACACAGATAAAGAATACAAAATGTAGCAAAACCCTTTGTTAGCGATTTCAGTCCATTTTCTGGTCACTGTATTTTTAGGTAAAGCTGTGCTCAATCCAAGTATGCATAGCAGACACAATCCCTCTGTTGTCTCCACAAAAGTGCACGTCTCTCATGGTGAAAGATTGCTGGCTCAGGAAACTCAGATTTCAACAGGAATTCATTCCCTCTCTTTTAGATCACTTTAGCTTGTAATTCTCTCTTTGAATATGTAAACACATCTAAAGCTCAAAGGAATCAAAGATTTATCATCCCAGGCTAACTGAAATCAAGCAGTAATGGGAATGCACGGGTAGTGATTAATTGAAAGGCATAAGCTATGGACTATAAAACATAGATATTCATTGTATTGAACAGTCATTATTTAGTTTCTTGCCAGATTGTGTTTCAGATCCAACGTTTGGTAGAAACAAATTCTAACACAGACATGGGCCCTCCTTGGAAGATCAGATTCACGTGGGACCCCTCTTTCTGGACTAAACAACTCTCCAATTTAGGTAAGTCAGAGAAGAAGTCAGAACTGAAAAAATGTCCACATTTGGTCAGTAAAACTCTTTTTTAGTACATGTTCAAATTGCTTCTTTGGGATTTGTATTTTCCTTCTGGATGGCATAACTCCATATTTTTATTTCTTGCTTGCTTTCTGCAGGTCATTTGTCAATGGAGGGAGGGCCAAACCATAACTCAGATGGATCAGCATATGGAAGTATGCATGGAATGCCACCTTATTTGTATCATCACAACCATGGACACCATTCCCCAGCACCACATCAGGACTCTCTCAATAACCAGTCACACCAATTCCACCCTCCTATTCACTGCCCAACACCCATGTGCTGCACCCATTGCCTTAATATTCCACATATGAGTAAAGGGCAACTCCCCCATCAAACCATGAGCTACCCTCAATCTTTCAGGCAGCCTCCTGAAATGCAGGAGCAGCATTTCCCTGTGCAGTATAACCTGCAGCAGCCTGACCGAGAACAGCGGTGTACCTTGCGACCCTTGAAGACACTGCAACCCTGCGCAGAACAGAAATTTCACCATGAACATGATAATGAATCAGACAGGATGGGGAAGCATCTCCAAGACCAACCAGTGCCCCATGCTGGCCATAACCTTTATAATTTTCCATCACAGGATGATCAGCAAGGCCATGCTAGCCATGCTCCACAGTTGCTGGCACCATCTGCAGTGCATTGTCCAACAGTGCAAGTTCAACTTGGTCCACTACAGAAACTAAAGCTGAATCAGTCACAGCAGCAAAAGGTGCAGCAGCAGGAATCGCCGCTACCTCCCCCTGAGCTGTCCCCACAGCAGTCATCCCCTTTGAGTCCCAATGGGAAGGCTCGGGATCAAGTGATACAACAGAATTTGGACATCATGCACCATCAGTTTGAACTGGAGGAAATGAAGAAAGATTTGGAGCTTCTCCTCCAAGCCCAGCAACCAAGCCTGCAGCTGAACCAAGCCAAGCAGCCCCAACATGTTCAGCAAACAATTGTTGGTCAGATAAACTACATTGTGAGACAGCCCACCGCAGTTCAGCAACAAAGTCAGGAGGAAGCAAAAGTAAGCTTGCTAGGCCTTTTCTTTTCTTTCTAGAAATTCTGTAGAAATCGGAACCCTGAAACTATTTTTGAGGGGGGGGGGGGTTGACATGAAGGCTTATATACAGTCAAGTTGTAGTCAAAATTTTTACACAATATACAGAGTCCTTGAATATTTAGTATACTTCTGGTTGATAATTTTTCAGAGAGAGACAGACAGAGCTTGACTATATAGAAGCCTTCATGGTCCAATTTTGTCAACAAAGTCATAGAAATTGTATCCTAAGTTAGGATTGTTGGGAGATGGGTAAAAGTTAGTTTTACACTTGATACTTGTGAGATAGCCAACAGGTTTGTTTACTTATTGGACATATGGAGATCTTTGCCACATTTGGGAATCTGATACCCCTTGCATTCTTATGCAAACATGACAATTACAAGCAGACATTGCAGAAGGAATAATAAATGCATATATGTAGTTCGGAGATACTCTTGTGGTATTATCTTGGTGTTCTGTGGTCTATTTAGATACTAATTCTGATATTAATGGGAATAAGGCTTCATAGATTTGCAAAGTCCTTTGAACCTCAGCCTTAAGACTCAGAGAGTGGATGACAGTAGAACTTAAGAATACTTCCTGCTACACCAGGTACCAACATTGAGGAAGTCCTGTCCTGCAGCAAAGGGGCAGACAGCAATATCTTTCCAAAAAGCAAAGATTCATAGCGATATTTCCGCAGTAATGCATGGCTAAGTTTCTTTGATGATTGAAAAGTCACAGCTAGTATCTTGATCAAGTTTAGTAGCATACAAGCAATGAGTGCAAGCAAGTGGACATTGATTTAATGTTCCTTATGTCAGCAGTTCTTGTTAAAAACTAGGCTGAAGCCTCCAACCCATTAGTATGTATAATTAATATATGGAAATGATCTGGTTGCCACTAATGAATCTCTGCTTCTCTTCTTGTCTCATAGGTTGGTGAAGATTCTATTGAGCCAGAAGCCTCAAACCCAGCACTCCCCTTTGACAGAAATGAAATACCATCTACATCCCAGCCATTAGAAGAACCTATTGTCAAAATTCACTCTCCAGAGAGTACTTTGAATTCAGTCAGAAAGGTACATGAAGTTTTTTCTTTCTCTTTAATAAAAGAAAATGTTTCTGTAGTTCTATATGGCCACTATGAACACTTCCTGTCTCCTGCATTTTGACAAGAATTAAGGTTAAGGGTGCTTTTGGTAAAAAATGTCAGTTTCGCAGACAAAATTTCTCTCAGTAGAACCCCCCCCCCTTCCATATCTTTGGAACAGAGTAGGGGTGCTCATATGTACACTTAAATAGGCTTTGAATTGCTCCTGCTATTTATATGCATGCCTGATTATTATTAATGTAGCAGATGATGCACAAGAAAAGCATTTGTAATGCAAATGGGCTTTCATGCTAAGGTACATTTTACATTTCCATTACAAACTGCTTTAAGTGTCCAAATGCCTTTGCTTTTCTTCAGCCTTTTCCTGATTTTTGATTGGTTGGTGTTGGTAAGAATGCAAAAGAATTTTTTTAGAACCGTAGATTACACTGCCTCCACTTTATCTGTTTTTTTCGAATCCCAGTTTTCATTCCTTTCATTATTATGTGTAAAGATAATTCCTGTCTGAATACAGGATTCCAACTGACACACACAGCTGTAGCTATGATGCTCACAAATATGGCAGCTATAACACTGTGAACATATAGCCAAACTTGGAGAATAACTTTACTGGGAACAGATTTCCCAGAACAGCTTGGTGGTTTGTGGACTCATTTGGGGCACTACTGTATGTCAATTTATAAAGGAGAATGAGAACATGACTTTGTTGGGATGACAAGTTGAATGGTGATGTGTATGTTTATGTGCCTTAACATTGCCTTTTGACGTATGGTGACCCCATAAATGTCATCAGTTTTTCTTAGGCAAGAAATTTCCTTCCTCTAGAATGTAGCCTACAGCACCTCCTATTTGTTGTCTGCCCTACATCCAAGTACTAACCAAGGCTGACAATAAGGCTGATCCTGCTTTGCTTCCTAGATCAGATAGGATATGGTGTATTTTAGAGTATGTAACTGCTTGGCTCTCTGAAGAGAAGTATATTCTGCTCCAACTAATTTCTAAATGAAGGAATTAGTTTTTCAGATTGCTCTCTATATTACTTTAAAATGCAAAAGATGACCAGGATGCAAATACATCAAACAAAATAAACTAACATCTCTCTCTTGTATGACCAGAGGTGTCCGTCATGCCTTGTAATGGTATCAATACATTGTCATGTATTTGTAGCTATATTTCCAAATGTTTCAAAGGAAAATTAATTTTGACTCAGGTGAATGGACTTTGAATTCAGACATTGCTATTTGACTCCTGGGAATTTGTGTGCAGGTATTCTGTGATTTTGAACCTTAGAATTCCAGTGATTGGATATCTCTCAGAGGTATTTTACATGGGAATTGCATTTAGCTTTAATTGCTAATATTAGTATGAGTTTACAACATAGCTCTCCATGTAGTCCAAAGCTCAAGATACAAAACATTATGTAATGTTATAAACTATTCCAATATTCTTCTGATAGTGCATCTACACTGTAGAATTAATGCAGTTTGACACCACTTTAACTGCCATGGCTCAATGCCATGGCATTATGGGAGTTGTAGTTTGGTGGGGTGCCAGTATTCTTTGGCAGAGAAGGCTAAAGACCTTGTAAAACTACATCTTTCATTATTTCATAGTATTGAACCTTGGCACTTCAGGTGATGTCAAACTGCATTAATTTTGCAGTTTCATGCGTCCACAGTTTCTGGAGCAGCCTGTGAGGTGATGTGGGTGCTGAGGCCAGAAGAAATCTCCTAAAAGCCTGGTACACGTGGTGTCTTTTTATATATATAAAAATCAAATAAATGAAATGTATTCGCATTTGTCAGTATTCTTGATTGCAAAGCACTGAGGATTTTTTAACCTCCTCTCATTGCTCTCAATATCCATAATAAATCTGGACTTGAAGAACTTCACCGGAATTTTAGCTGAGAGACTGGACAACACTATGACCTAATAGATTCATTCTGATCAAACTCTGATGACATCTGGTGGACAAAAAGGTCTACATCTCTGACATTGAGACAAGCAACTCTTGATCATCTTGTTCTTCTGTTTGTTAATGCATCAAAAGACAGCACCTCAAGTATTTTTCTGACTATGAACTTAAATCCTAATTCCTCCAGGGCCATTCAGGATAATTGTCAACATCCTTTTGGGCTGGTAGCAGAAAAGGACATAGACTTCTGTTCCCTTCATCTTAAAAGAGGTGCAAGACAAAAGCTATATGCTTTCTGTGTCAGTGTGGAATCCTTATCTAATGCAATGACAATGAATTGAATAATCCAGACATAGCAAAATTGATTATGATCTGGGCCTTTCTTTTGGTATGACATCTACATCTCAAGGAAGGTGTCAGTTTCGACACATTGATAAAGCACCTATCATGATACAAATATGACCTCTGAAGTTTAGGCTGCTTTTGAAAGAACTTATCCATTTGTTCAGCCAATTAAACCATATCATTATCCTGTACTTTTGGTCTCACTTTTTTTGACGCTGAAGTACCAGCTACTTTTTAGACAGCTCAACAAATGCGTACAGAATGGTGTTCTGACAAGTTCTTGTGGTCATCGGAACAACAGTTGAATGAATGAATACCTAAAATCCTTTCGAAAACAAACAATTCCACTCTTACCTGTTGCCAGAGGAAGCCAAAACCATGGCTCATGTACTGTGCTTTCAAGATTCAAATAGGTTTGGAATTCTAAGCTTGAATGTCTCATTTTACAGCAGCTCAATTGCCATTGCTTGGGCACCCGATTTTGTGGAGGATGTGAACATCCTGCGGCTCCTCCATGATGACATGATGGCAACAGTCTTGGACAGCAGTGGCTCCCAAAGTGACCCATTTAAAGTGGAATCCGGTGTCAAACAGGGATGTGTTATTGCCCCAACTCTATTCTCCATCTTCATTGCTATGATACTTCACCTTGTTGATGGGAAGCTTCCCACCGGAGTGGAAATAATCTATCGGACAGATGGCAAGCTATTCAACCTCAGCAGACTGTAAGCCAAAACCAAGGTTACAACAACATCTGTTATAGAACTCCAGTATGCTGATGACAATGTCATCTGTGCGCATTCAGAAGAAGATCTACAAGCCACTCTAAACACCTTCGCAGAAGCATACGAGAAGCTCGGCCTGTCACTGAACATTGAGAAAACCAAGGTGCTGTTCCAGCAGTCACCAGCCAATCCCTCTCCAATGCCAGTAATACAGCTTAATGGTGTAACATTAGAAAATGTGGACCATTTCCGCTACCTTGGCAGCCACCTCTCCACCAAAGTCAACATCGACGCCGAAATACAACACCGCCTGAGCTCTGCAAGTGCAGCATTTTCCAGAATGAAGCAGAGAGTGTTTGAGGACCGGGACATCTGTAGGGAGACCAAGGTGCTTGTCTATAAAGCTATTGTCCTCCCAACCCTGCTCTATGCCTGTGAGACGTGGACTGTCTACAGACGTCACATGCAGCTCCTGGAACGATTCCATCAGCGCTGCCTCCGGAAAATCCTGCAAATCTCCTGGGAAGACAAGCGGACAAACGTCAGTGTGCTGGAAGAAGCAAAGACCACCAGCATTGAAGCGATGGTCCTCCAACATCAACTCCGCTGGGCCGGCCACGTTGTCCGGATGCCTGACAACCGTCTCCCAAAGCAGTTGCTCTACTCCGAACTTAAGAACGGAAAACGAAATGTTGGTGGACAGGAAAAGAGATTTAAAGATGGGCGCAAAGCCAACCTTAAAAACTCTGGCATAGACACTGAGAACTGGGAAGCCCTGGCCCTTGAGCGCTCCAGCTGGAGGTCAGCTGTGACCAGCAGTGCTGCAGAATTTGAGGAGGCACGAGTGGAGGGTGAAAGAGAGAAACGTGCCAGGAGGAAGGTGCGTCAAGCCAACCCCGACCGGGACCGCCTTCCACCTGGAAACCAATGCCCTCACTGCGGAAGAAGATGCAGAGCAAGAATAGGGCTCCACAGCCACATACGGAGAGAAATCCACAGAGAAATCCATAACGGAAGACCATCTTACTCATCCAACGAGGGATCGCCTAAGTTGAAGTTGCCATTGCTACGTGAAGGCTACATCCTTTCTCAGAGCATTAGTGTAGACATATAGGACAACATACTTCCAGGCACAGCAAACTGGATGCCTTAATTACAAATTATGACTGAGAAAAGCCTAAGCATAGTTTCATTCAGGATATTTTACTAACCAGGGATCACAGGAAGAAAAAAATCATTCCTGGATTGACTACCTTGATCTAATATGTTCATTGTTCATCACTCAGAATAGCCCTGAGAACTGCTTTCTCTTGAGAAATACAAATGATGCACTGGCTTTCAAATTTAAACTGCTGAAGGAAACTCAGTGATAGAGAACATTAAAAGAACCTTGAATCAATGTAACTTTGTCTATACTAATGTGTACAAATACTCTGTTTTTCCAATCAATTTCAAATAGTGTAACAGACCCACCATGGTGTCATTTAAAGCTTATGTAAATGCGGCAATGACATTCTCCAACCTAAGGTCCTGCTTCTATTATCTATCAGTACCTTGGGTCTCTCTTTAGAAAATATGTTTGTTTATTTATTTATTTATTTATTTATTTATTTATTTATTTACTTCATTTGTATACCGCCATTCTCAGCCCTAAGGCGACTCATAGCGGTTTACAACAATCAAGCAAGAACAAAGCAACAATCAAGGCAAAAATTCAATGCGGCATCAACAGATACTTAAAAACAATTAACACAGAAACAAATTAAACAATTTAACTATAATAAACAGTCAAGTGGCGTCTCATAACTAGAATCATGATCCAAACTTGTCTGTCGTAGTTCCATTCCTGAAGTCATTGCACTGCTTATTCAAACGCCTGTTCAAATAGCCATGTTTTCACTTTTCTCCGGAATACCAACAAAGAGGGAGCCAATCTGATGTCCATTTAAATATACAATCTGATGTATATTTAAAGACTGGGTA